GGCTGAGCTGGGGGGCAATGAGCAAGCCCACTCCAGCCCGCCACCTCTCCCCGCGGGCAACGCCAGAGAAATGGAGCATCCAGCCTCTCTCCAGGAGTTGGGTTCCAGAGCCCAGGTTGTGCGTGGAGGTGAGCTCAGGCTCCTTCCCCCCCAGCGAGGTGACGTTCCACGTTCCAACAACCAGAGGCTGTGTGCGCGGACCAGGTCGCCAAGGCAGCCCCCCCCGGCCGCCACCCAGTCCTCTCTGCACCCAACCCCTATGATTCCCTCTGCGGGTGGTGGGTCCACAGGAGGGCAGGCCCACGTCAACCTTTCGGGCTGTGCCCGGCCGGGCCCCGTGGGCAGAGGCCCGACCACCAGGCGCTTGCGTTCGAGCCCCAACTCCAGGCCTGGCTCCAGGGTGGGGCCCCAGCTGCGCCATACCGGGCGACGTCTCTTTCCTTGATGTTTTTCTATCTCAAAACTTATCCTTTAAAGGATAAGTTTAAAGGATCTCAAAACTTATCCTTTAAATATTTCAATTTGCAGCAAATTCATCAACACAGTTTGAAATATGAAATGCAAACTGTGCCTGTATCTGTACAGATTTTTATTGACTTGTACCTAACTTTTTGTTTTGTTTTGTTGCACAGAAACTTACATTCATTGATTTCCATCTCAAAGTGTGATGAGGGTCTCCTCTTGATCCGACTGGTGTTGATGACATCATAGCTTCCCCCTGATGGACCCAGGTAAGAACTAGAGATAAAGACACAGAAAAAAATAGCTATTTTTGTAACCCCCAGTCTCAGCATAGGGAATAAAATGCAGCTTACAGATATGTTAGGTTGTTCCAGAGTCTCTTCTCTTGAATGAGGCTAAATAGAGAGAAATCTTGGCGAGTGAGTGGCAAGATGGTGGAAACCGTTAATGGAGGTGTGATTATGATGGTAGCGTTGATTGAGTGTGCATGAAGAGTTTTGGCTCAGTCTCATTAAGCCTGGTTGCTCACTGACTCTACTTTAGGGGGATGAAATAGATCAATGCTTTCTGCTACAAACAAACCAGAGGGAAGAGGGGAGAGCGTCTAATTCCCAGACCGCCATGACAGATGGGGACACCATAGATGTATCCACTGTGAAAAAAGTCCCACTTTTTACACGGAGGATGCTCTTCTGTTACGCTGCGAGAAACTGTGTGGAAAATCCTTTTTGGACTAGAGAATAGATGAACAGTAGGAGGGCTTTGATAAAGACTGCAAATGAATGCCTTTCTTCATGAGACTGCCAGTTCCTCCAGCACAGAAAGAACTTTAAGAGTTCTGTTTAGTTGCCTTTTGTCAGTTTAATGACTAAATTTAGCTGTAATTAAAACTAAATGCATAATTTCAAAAGCAATATCTTATTTTTTATTTTTTATTTTTTTGGCACTGAATGCACACAAAGAAGTGTAGATTGATTCAACTTGTGTTCAGTAACCAAATGTTATGTTGAGTGAATTTAGCGTGAGAAATGTGAGGCCCCTTTTATACCAGCACACATCCTGCTGTCATTTTCACATAACAGGGCTATGCAGCCGCTTTTAATTGTGATGGGAAATCACGAAATCCCAGCAGTTGAGGTTTTATATGAAACAGAAACTTGGCATTGTTACCAGCGGAGCAGCATCACGAGTAACATCTTAGGAAACCGTGTTGTAGTAGATTTTATCATTTAGGTGTCTGCATTTGTTAGCAGGCCAGGTGACTGACTCTGTGGTATTGTCTGTTTCATAACTGTATACTGCATGATGCTATATTAAGAGTTGAAGATATATTATGAAATATTCCATAACTCAGATTGTCTTTACATGCACATTTCTATATTGTTGCATCATAATGTTGCTAAGACACTGTTCATATTCCATCGTAACATTTCTATATTTTGTAAACACCATATATATTGTCTGCAGATACTGTGGTTTCCCTAAAATGTATTGCTTTTCTTCTTTTTTCCTGACTGACGTTACATCAATCTTTTTTCTTATAAATTAATCAGCTTGATCTTTTACCCTTATCTTCAGCGTTACTTTTTACTGTTCTATTCTAGTCTTATTTTAGCTTACTTATTTGTGGCGCTGCAGTTTCTTGTGATGTAAAATTTTTTTTTCTAAGCAATATCAGACACAAGACTTTCCTGTGGGATTGATAAAGTTTTGTCTTCTCTCACTTTTTAGGCCTCCAAATGAATTCGAATGAAACATCCAGAGACGGTGCATGAAACAGACTCACAAGTGTGAACCGCTTGATTTTTTAAGAGGTCACAAGGCAAAAAGGCTGCATATCACTGCGCTTTTAGAGGAATTCACACCAGCCAGGTCTTACCTTGTGAAGAAAGGATGTGCAGGAAGGAACTGTTGAGGCAGCAGTTGTCCAGGAGAAGCAGCCGAGGGGCCACCAGAAGATCCAGGAGCTCTGGGGCCAACCACAGGTAAGCAGGTCAGCTGGCTGCGGCTAATGTCCCTGTGAGGCCCGTGCAGGAGGTTAGGAATCGGGTGGAGAGCGGTCAGAGGAGTGTTCGGCAGCGGGAGAGGAGGCTTGCTGTGGCCGAGGCTGATGACTGGGATGTGCGGAGGAAGGGGAGAGGATGATGAGGATGAAGGGAGGGATGCGGTGGAGGCTGGAGGGGGGAGAGGACACGGGGACGTCTTGGCCGGTGCTGGGAGCAGCGGAGGTGGAGAGGAAAGAGTTGGAGACCCATTGGCTGAAGCAGCAGGGGTGGTGGTGCTCTTTGGCATCCCCAGTGTGTCCTCCTCTTTCTTCTCCATCTCCATGACGACGGGCTCAGGTGCAACAGCTGTATCCGCCCGACGATTGGTCAGTGCGGTCGTCGGGGTGATGGGGGACTGAATTGAGCTGGCAGTGAGGATGTCCGTGTGTCCCTTGTGCCCTGTCTTATTAAGAGGAAGTGGGCTGCTGATAGCATCCAAGGCTGCTAAACTCTTGTTCTGTAGGGGACTGTGTGGCTCCACGGACGCACAGGATGGTGAGGAGGAAGACGGGCGAGGTAGGTCGTGAGGTGAGGCAGGTGGGCCTGTGGGGTTCAGTTTCTCCATCATAGTGGGGAAGTCTCTGGAGGAAACTGTCGCTGTCAAGCTCTTGTTCCTCTCAGCTGCTCAGCATGTGCTTCTCTTCCCTGTGATGTTTTTATAAGAGTTTGAAGGTCAGTGATGTGTTCATGTCTACCACCTGCAGCTTCTCATACTGAGTGCTTTAAACCTCTCCTAGCCAAGCGTGAGTCTTTTCCTTAAAGGTGACTTAGAAGCCTTTATTTTCGCTTCCTTTGTTCTACTTTCCTGCAGAATTTGCAATACTTTTGCTTTGCTACCCCACATAAAATGTAGGTTTGCTCTTATTGTTGCCAAGCTCAGCGTGCAATCTCTATGTCCAGATTATCTGTGTATTGGATGGAGCTTCAGCTATACTTGGACTAGTTTTATTTTTATTGCAAATCTGCCTCAAGGCTTTGTAAAGCTTTGTAACACACTCTGAAGCATATGACACCCTCTGTCCTCAAACCCCTGAGTCAGAATCAGTAACGCCTGACCAAAAACCACATTGTTATAAAGTCGCTAGCTATTATTCACACATCTGATGGCTGTTGTGCAACTGTAACTGTAGAGTAAATGAGAGGCTGCATTTATTCACTCAGTAACATTCGGCTAAACAAACGTTTTGCAGGCTTGAATGAACGGCTACTTCTGTGCTTTCGTCTCCGGCTCCTCCGTGCAGCAGAGGTGGCTGTAGCGCTTTGACGTGAACTGGATGTCTGTGTTTTTCTTACAGTACATCCTGAGTGGCAAATTCTGGATTTTGAATAGGTCTCCAGTGGAAGCTTTTAATGAGTCTGTCCGTCTATCTGTCCGTCTGTGTGTATTTTGAGGATGTGAGTCAAAATCCTTTTTAAGATTCAAAACGTCCCAGGTCATTGAAGATTGGATTGATATCAAAGAGTCTGTTGAACAAAAGAAAAAGAAAACAAATGCACTCAGGATCCATATTGGGTGTATATTTAGTCAGACATAAGATATGAAAATGTGCTCAAAGGTCAGTTGGCACAAAAGTACCACAGCAGTTTATGCTAAAAATGTAATAGTGGTTGTTTGAGCTTTCCCCAGTGAAAACCTAACATCTGGATTCATGTCACACTATAGCTTTGGTGGATGGAACCCTGGAAATAAATGTACTGCGTTGCCTCACCGAGTACAAATAGAAACATTTGTTTGTACTCTGCTCTGCGAAGCATAATTTCTCAGGTTTTGCAATCGCAAATGTTCCTGTTTTGTCTTTTCTAGCTGTCATGACTTTATTTTCGACAGTTCCGTCTTTCGCAGTGATGTGTAGGGACGACATTTGGGGGTATTTTTCAACCATACAATTTTGCTGCCGTGTTATATTTACCATTACGTAAAATATCCCATGGAGAAGTTACGCAGAAATAGAGGAAGGCAAAACTGAGCTCTGCATGGTTACGTATGATGGAAACAACTGCACACCTTTTTTCTTTTTTTTTTTTTTAAAAACTTAAGTCATTTTTCTAGCCTCGAAGCAAAGTATTTTTTTGTTGTTTTTGTTTTGTATGCAATATTATTTGAAAATTATAAAACATTTAATTAAATTCTTTTTGCATTCTAATCTTATTCTATTGCACATTTGTCCCACATGCTACTTATATATTACTATGTTAGTTGTTTGTATTATTGTGTGGGCCAAATGCACAATATATTGTATAATTACTAATAGCAGTGAACTGTCACAAAAATTCATATTTTTTGTAAGTTAAAAAATCCAAAATACATGATTAATATGAAATTTCTGGTTTATTTTATTTACTACAAAATTCTTTATTATCGACAGATTTACATGCATCATTAGTATATTTACCAAATGCCTCTACAAAATAGGACATATGGTACAATTGACACTTCTAAAAGATAATCTGTGTTATTATCATCATTTAAAATAATTCTTACAGCCTGAAAACCACTCGTGCTGTGCGAAGAAACAAAATCTAAACTAGTAAGTTCTCTTGAATACTCACTGATACATGATGAAATCCAGCGTGGCTCGTCTGTCTGTCCGTCATGCAAAATCCATCACAGTTCAAGTGATCTGTGAAAGCACATGTTGTATCTGCTTGGTGTTTGACGTCTTCTCCCTCCTCCTTTAGGTCGCTCGTACTCAACTGCAGCTCCTGTCAGCGTCTGTCTGTCAGTTTCTGAGGACAGAACTGAAGCCAAACTGTCTGACGCCCCTCGAAGCTCTCCTCGCGCTCAGGTGAATCCCTTTAAACATCATATTTAATTATGAATTTTTAAAAAAAGATGAATAAAGTCAAAATGAGCCTAAAAGACGCTGAAAATGTACATGTTTGTAATTGCTGGAAAGTTGCTCCTTTGAAGGAAGACGCTCTCAAACAGTGGAGGTGGACGTTCACTGCCATCCCCCCCTGTCCATATGTCACTCTCACTTCTCTCTCCCTCCCTCTTTCTCTGTCTTTCACTGTCCTGTCTATCCCATCACTCGCTCTCTCTCTCCGCCAAGAAGACACAATGCTCTAGTTGGCTGCCAGAGTTCTGGTGCTGGCAAATGAGAGGTGGGAGAGAAAGGGAGAGAAGGGGGGAGAGAGAGAGGGAGAGAGAGAGAGAGAGAGAGAGAGAGAGAGAGAGAGAGAGAGAGAGAGAGAGAGAGGGAACCATGTTGCAAGGAGAGTTTTCCGCTCCCTGCTGGACATGAGGATGTGCTAGTACAATATGGTGGCTGCTGATAAGAGCCTCAAAAGCTGCCTGTGGCCTGTAGATAAGGAACCTCCACCACCCCTCCTCCTCCTCCACCACCAATACCAATACACACACACACACACGCACACAGGCACACACACACATACATTTGCACACACGCCTACATGCTCGTACGCACACACACCATGCTAGACTGGTCAGCCCCAGACTTTGAAGGCAACTGGACTGCTTCCAAGAAAATATCTGCAACTGCGCTTTTATCACAATAAATTTACCAGACAACATATGCTTATTCATACATACACACACACACATATATATATGTATATGTATATACACACACACACACACACACACACACACACACACACACACACACAGATAGTGCATGCATACACAATGCCATAGATAGCTTAGTCACTAGGGGAATCATCGCCCGTAATAACTTTTGCTTAAATATCTGCCTTTTAACCTTGTTCTCATATGCCAATTATAAGTGAAGAAATCCCCAATAATGTGCATTTGTGGCCCATAAAGGTCACATTTACAGGATCTGAGATGGATTGAGTTGATTACTCAATTAAAAGAAAATGAATTCCCCCTGAAATGAATTATTTTGATGGTTGTTTCTGTGAAAATTGCTGCAAAATAGTTTCTTTTCAACCTCTCAGATGTGAGGATTTGATGTTGTTTCTTGTTTAGAATTTAGATTTTGAACAGATGCTTGTATAAAACTACATATTTTAATATGTGGTGTTGGGCTCTGGGTAAATTAAAATGGGTATTTTTCACTATTTTGTAGGCTAGAGAAAACTAATGAATGTTTAATTGAGAAAATAACTAGCAGTGTTTTCAGTGGAGATTAGGGCAACTTGCAGCCCTAATCTCCACTTGTGTATTCATTTCTGCATTATACCAACATGAATGGTGTTTAATATTGGACCTGAGGCAGATTTCTGGTCCCTGGTTTCTGCTATGACATCAGAGCCCACCTGTGTCACTGATGACCAACATACAAGTCGTCATCGTGGTAACTTTCCTCTCCAAGAGCTCCAGAACTTCCTTCCTCAATCCATCTTTCAGCCTTTCTCCTCTGAGCTCAGCCATTCCTGTTAACTTCTTCCCAAACTCTCTCTCTTTCTCTCTCTCTCTCTCTTTCTGTCTGTCTCTCTCCCAACCTCAGGGTCAGCACTTCTTTTACATTCCCTCAGTCATTTCCTTCTTAGACAGACTCAAACACAAACATTATAAAGGTTTTACAGTTGCGTGACCTTCAAGGTCCTGGGAAAGAAAGCAGTTTGCTGAGCAACTGCACGACAAATCTGTCGTCATCTTCATCATCTATTTTTTTTTATTGTAGTCATATTTATTATCGTCATCATCATTATAAACAGTAACTGTCACATCTGAATATGCCCTAATAACAATAGTCAGTGTAGAATCAGAGTGCAGACAGTGTCATCTATTGGCCGTCACACTTTTTTGAGTCCGACAGCTGTGGTTCCAGTTGATCGCTCTGTGTGTGCGAGAATAACGTTGCAGTGGCACGGCGGCGCCTGCAGATGCTGCATGAATTTGCCTGCAACATATTAAAAGCTACACAAGGGACAGAGAGAAATCCTTTGGGATTAGCTTTTTCTGTGCTTTACAGTATGCAGTCCTATTAAAAAGCAATTTGATCTAATAATGTCACTGTATCATGAGCAAAGTTTTAGCTATTTAAAGTTGTTCGTCATGTGTTTGTTCAAAATATGACTCACATAATGTTCCTTTAAATGCAGCTTTGTTTTGTTTTGTTTGCTGTGCTGATGAGGAATCTGAGTGAGGGCAGAATGGGTAAAACAACGCCAAAAATAGAATAACATTGCTTTAAATGTGGATGTTGTTTTACTTTACACATTCCTTTCTGCTGTGAAATGTTCACATGCAGAGAAAAATATTTTAAATTCTTTGGTGTATTTTGATTCTAAAATGTTTCTGGTTTCCAACAGAAAATATGACCCAGAATAAAACCACTTTCTTTGTACAGCTGTTCTCACACTGTTCGATAATCATGTATTCTGCAATTATCTTTCTTTTTACAGAGGCCTGTGTCCATTTTCTACTTGTATTTTTCATTACTGGAAGCTTCACAGTTTGTTGACTTGACAAAGTAATAAGTCAGGATTATAGTTTATATCGTTTTTTGCTCAAACAAATAATGATCTGAATGTACATTGAAGGCAGATTTAAAAATAAAAATAAAAATCTCACTCCAAAGGGTTTGAGATAGTAGCTTCTACTTGCTTACCAATACAAGAAGCTGTTTGTCACACTTTGGTGTCTTGGTTTCCCCCAAGGAAGTTAGGTAAATCTAATGAAATCCCATGAGAGAGTGAACAACAAATCAGTTAACAGTTTGGGTTTCCCCTCCTTAAGGTAAAACCGTGACTTCTTGTAGTTTTCTCAGGAGCAGACACAAGACAAATCGTTGCCTCTCATTTAGGGCCCCGTGTGAACACTCAAACTGTAAATGGGGGAATAATTATAGAAACAAACGATAACAGACAGCTTCCGCTTTTCCGTTGAGTGAGGAAGAAATCAAGAGAGGATTGTTTTAATCTCAGAGCGGTGCTGTTACACCCTCCTCACGGCCACCTTAAAATACCCCGCTCAATAAAGGAGTATTGATAGGAGAGTCTTTGTGTAGCTGTGAAGTGTGTTTGTGTGTGTTTGTGTTTGTGCACCTGCAGAAACGTTGATCTGCTTTGCTTGGCCAATGAGCTTCGTGTGCATGAGGAGAGGAAAATTAAAACCATGTGACCTTTATGTGGCCAATAGTAAGTACCAGCTCTTTTTCAATATGACAGATTTAAAACGGAGTCTTGTTGCAGACATTAATGTGAGACTAACAGAGTTAAGGGCAGGTCACCAGCATTTGAAACTGCCAAACTAGTCAACTGTGGGAAATTTGGTGCAGCTGAGCATTACCAAGTCATTTTGACGGAGGCGACCTTTGGTGGAAACAGAAAAGCCATTGACAGCATCGGCTTTAATTAAGCCCTGCTCTGTTCGAATGAAAAACTGTTCAGTTATGAGACATGGAGCGGATGGTTCACATTCTGAATTAACTACAGGCCCTTTTGCTGTCTTGTTAAACCAGCCGTCTACTGAAACTCTTAAGATCTTACTGTAACAGTTTTGTGTCTGTAAATACTGAGTTTGCTGTTGCACATAATGTCTTACATTACTGTGTAATGGAAAAATGTAATGTGATTACAGTAATCTGTTTGTACTGGAGCTGAAACGATTAACTGATGAATCAAATAGATGTCAACTATTTGATTGATCGCCAGCTATCTAGATAGTTAATTGGTGTAATTCTTTTTTCACAAAAAAGATAGACATTCTGTGAATCCAGTTCCTTAAAATTGTATAATATATATATTTATATATATATATATATATATTAGTTTCTGCTTTCTGTACTTGTCTCATACAAAAATTAAATATATTTGGGTTTTGGAATAAACAAAACATTTCAGGATGTCATCAGGCTTTTGGGAACACTGATTGTGTTTCTTTTTGTGACATTTAGAAGCTCAAACAACTAATTGATCAATCGAGAAAATAATCAAAAATGACAAGAGTCAATAATTACAGCCCTGCTTTGTTCTGAGTCACATGAATGCCGTTTTGTTGCTGAGCTTTAAGATATGCAGCTGAATTTTACTTTGCAGCTTCTCGGTGTCAATGATGTTTTGTAAGATGATATTTCCTTAAATTCATGATTTGTATTGCTTTAACCTCTTAAGACCCGAGCTCTTGTTTGATATACATATTTTATTTCTTTTTGCTATTTGATCAGATCTGTGGTAATACAATCCAAAATGTGATGTCCATGCATGTGGACAGCAGGTCTTAAGAGGTTAAAGGCAATAGATGACCAGACTGATCAAAACTGTTGAAACTGATGAAGAAATATCAGTTACTTGCTGACAGATTTACATTAGCCTCCATAAGCGACTGGTCACAGTTGGAGAGTTAGACAACTTCACATTTTATTATCCGTGAATCAAACTTTATATTTTTGTAAAAATGAAGATTGTTTCATTCTTCTTTCATACCTTAGACATCAAGAGAACTTAATTTTTGTGTTGAGTAACAGTATGATACTCCAATATTTTCCATCCTCCATGAAAACAGAGCCAGCTTTGAGTTTTTAAAATCAAACGATCAGTGAAGACATGCACATGGGGTGCCGAATGTAAAAATTCAGTCACACTTTTCTAGCTGATATATTTGGAATATTTAGCTCACTTTTCTCACATTTAGCTTATTTTCTTCACATTTGAGGTGGAAATTAAATGGTGAATAAAATGCTAAATCTAAATCAAAATGCTAAATCTAAATCTAAATTCTAAATCTAAATGTTAAATCTAAATCTAAATGCTAAATCTAAATGTTAAATCTAAATGTGTCTCCAAGTGTAAAGCTAAATATTTAGAAAATATGCAAATAGCCCACACATCTCAGCGCGCACAGACCCGCCCACACATCTGACCGCCCGTGCCGCGGGTGCGGAGGTGAAGTGAAGGGAAGGACCAAAATATGGTCGGTTCTCTCCAATTAGGAGAGATTGAACGGGCGGTTATGGCAGGTGTGCGTGCTGCACTCCAAGGTGCACTTCCGCCGGTACCGTCCACACCATCAACGGTAAATTACTTAGTTAAAACTTTAACTTTGACTGTGTTCGTGGGGAAGCTACTGCTAGCAAACCGCATAGCAAGCTAACATTTGCCAGTGTGACT